ATCAAAGAGGACAAAAACACTTCGTAAATAAAGGTAAAGAAATAAATATACTTTGTGAATAATGCCACTTAAGGCAAAGAAGGTATGTGGGTTTTTGTGATCTTCACGACACTTCTCTATTCTTCAGAATGTTGTTGTTCATCGCAAATTGTTCTTGTTGTTGTCCAACTATGAGAAAAGTTATGGGAGTTTTCTTTTTTTTAGGTGACTGAACTTTATGATCTTTTGAACAAGTGGGATTCGTTCGTAGACGTTGTCCCGGATCTGGTAAGTGCTGCGAGTTTGGTAACCAGGCTTCCTAGCGTGGTCAACATTTAAACCGAAGTGGTAGTTAGTCAAAACTACAATGTACCCTGCACGGCACTGTTCTTTATCTTTACCTGATTTCTTTTGTCAGTTTTCACTTATTCTACATGTGTCCTTCTTTTAAACTTATAGATAACGAGACTACAATCCTTGAAAGCTCTTCATGAACAAGGTACGAACAAGAACAAAAAAAATAAACAAAAGCCCCGTCTACACGAGCAATTTTTATGTGTCAACTGTTTGTGGCAATTTTTATTTGCCTGTGTAGATGGCTCGACAAATATTTGTTGTTAATTTGCGTCACTAATAATTTTGCACAGCGGAGATGCTCATGGAAAGGGACAAAGCAAGATGGCGAAAGTTAGAACATGTGCCAGGCGTGTTGCAGCTTTAGGCGCGTTTGTCACATTTTATGTGGCGTCTCATCTACATGGACAATTTTTTTATGCGGCAATTTTTATTTGTCACATAAAAACTAACACGCCAGCTTTTCAGCAAATGCAGTTGTCACATAAAAGTTGGTCATTTTTCATCATCTGCACGGGCAAATAAAAATTGCCACATAAAAATTGCCATATAAAAATTGCTCGTGTAGACGGGGCTAAACTATCTCTGAGTAGCTTGGTAACACCTGTTGTGTTTATACCCGTCTGAAAGTTACACCATTGTACTCGCCCCCCCCCCTCCCCCCCAACAAAAGGCCCCTAGATCATTTTTTTACAAGTATCAAAATCATGGCTTACTTTTTATTTTAAAGAGTTACAAATTTATAGCCGTTTTAGTACCCTTTTGAAAGTTAAATGCGATTAAAAGCATCGCTTTACTTACACTTCGACATTTCTCTTCAATTCAACTCGTTTCTTCTGTGCATCACAGCAAGTCAGTTTGGTCAATCGTTGTTGGAGCTGGATTCGTCTCAGTCTACACTGAACAGTCAAATGCGCGGCCAGGCTAAACTCCTTAGTGAGGTAAGTGTCTGTTATTTCTAGCAGTTATGTAGATGTCGATCCCTTCCTCAGTGTTTTAAAAGGCTTTAGGCCAAATTTTTTGAAGGTTCCTTTGTCATACTTTCACGCATAGTTTTTAATGTCAGACACAACGACAAGATAATTTCTGGAGCATACTTCTTCTGTAATACATTTTTTCCTTTTTTTCCCAAGTTGGAAGCCAGCTTCAAATCCAACGTAGCTACCATCGAGGCAAACTGTGAACGAGTTGAAGCTCGCATCAATGCTCTTCTTGAGAAGTTCGAAACTAAAGGACGGTGATCAGTGAGATAGAGATGAAGTAGATACTTATCTAATGATTAACTTATAAGAAAGCGTACTGGTATTCATGGTATATGCTTAGAGTAATTTCCATTAAGTGTCGAAAGTAATCTGGGATGGCATTGGTTTTGCTTTATTTCGCTCTGTGATTGGTTCAGAAAACTCGCGCCATGCTTTCAACCAATCAGATGCAAACCTAAAACCAATCACGACTTGGTCGCCCGCGTTTTCCCGCGCTTTAGGCGGTTTGGTCGGATTTTACTTAGTTCTCATTGGCTCTTAAGAGCATTTCTCTTTCTTCTGATTGGCGATTGTGATTACCTTGGTTTTGGTTTTTACGACACTTAATCAGAAATCACTCTAGCTTTTACGGTGTTTGGGACAAGCGGCAAAAGGCTTTGAAAAATTTTTTTCTTCGCTTTCATTTTGAAGGGCGAGTGCAAATTTTAAATTTGAAAAAAAATTACCGAGGTTTATTTATGCCAAATTACACGAGAAATCATCTGATTGTCCATACAAATGCTCTTCAAAGGTTATTTAGTTAACATAGCCTTTTTGCCCGCAAAAATTCCTAAACACCAGAAAAGAATTGTTGGATTTTTATTAACAGTACTCCTAGGAAAGGCTTTTTTTTTAATCGGAAAAGTTATTTATTCGTTTGTTTCTTTGATCCGACTTCCTTAATGTAATAGTTAGGGATTAATTAAAAGAGTAAGGCAAACTATTAAGCGTCAAGTATGACAATATCTTGTATCCTAATAAACATAGAGAAAGCTAATTTTCTCGTCTTCTTTGGCAACATCAATTGATGCCCCTGAACCTTTTAACTCCCATTAGTTACCGAGATAGAATTTCTCCCAACATTATCTACACAATATCAAGCCAGCAAATGATGAGAATAAAGTTAAAATATATATCAGGAGATCAGCAGTTGATCCAATACTAAATTCTCCAAACTAGCATGATAAGAATTGTTTGGCAGACAGTTAGGAGAAATACTAAATGGTGTAATCGCCATTTGTAAGATGTTAGGTGCAAAACAAAAATCTTAGGTCCAAACCGTGCATTTGTGGCGGTAACAGCTGCCCATAGTGTAGCCAATCATTGACCAATATTTATCAAACACCATCATTTAAGAACTGACAACTAACAGTATAGATTTTTGTCATTTTTAAGAGTCTGGTCTGAAATAGGGTGGGAAAAATCACATATTTTGGTCTAAAATGGGTAAGTGTTTAAGCAAGTGAGTGGCACACCCCCACCAAAAGTTGTTCTTGCAATCAAAGAGGACAAAAACACTTCGTAAATAAAGGTAAAGAAATAAATATACTTTGTGAATAATGCCACTTAAGGCAAAGAAGGTATGTGGGTTTTTGTGATCTTCACGACACTTCTCTATTCTTCAGAATGTTGTTGTTCATCGCAAATTGTTCTTGTTGTTGTCCAACTATGAGAAAAGTTATGGGAGGGCTGGCCATAAGATAAAGGATTTTTATAGTGGGCACTGTCACAAGCAACAATGTATAGCCCAATCCTTTCATGTATCACTGACCCACTTAATTTGTTCTACTGCCCTGTCCACTGTTGTTAAGAAACTAACCAGAGGTTTCAAGAATTTGTGAAACTGCAAGGAAAGCAAATGGTAGCATGTTTCACTTCTGCTCACTTTTAGTGAAATGCATCACTCCAACGCCCCAAAGAGCCAGTTCCCTGTGTGCATTACCGTATCCTTTCACCCAAGTAACCACACCTACTCATTTTCAGGCTACAATGAAGATCCATGCGTGCTTATATGAAGCTCACAGCAATGCATCACACTGCACACATTCCTGTATTTCAATAAAAGTATGCAGAACTGAAACAAACCATGAAGTGCAATTACACATACAAACTCAATCTCATCCCTCAAATAATACGAATGAGTTCGCTCACAGAGCTTTTGATTGTGTTTGTTGTTTCTTGTGGTTATCAAGTTAATGTGCCCGAGAAAAGTATGATCCTTCAATTCCTGAAAAAATTAACGAAATTTAACCATACGTACTGGCTGGACTAGTGTAAATTACTCAGATCAACTACAAAAGACTTACGTCCGTCAGAAGTTTCGAGGCCTCCCTTTCAATGCCATTGTTGACATTCTCTAACTATGATGCTGATGCAACTGAGCTACTCGAGTTTTTAGGGTGGAAAAATCTTGCACGCCAGCAGGAAATCCATAAAGCCACCATGATGTTTAGATGTCTGCACGGGCTAGCTCCAAGGTATCTATATTCAAAGTTTACGTGGCGTGACTCTGCTTATGACCTCAGGGACTCTGAAAATAAGCTTAATGTTCCACTACCGCGCACTAATTATTACAGAAAAAGCTTTAGCTACAATGGCGCCACATTATGGACAGTTTACCACGCGATATAAGGAACACAGAGTCGCTGGGGTTATTTAAACGTAAGATCAATGACATTTTTTAAGTCTAACGCACGGCATTCACGGAAAACAGCTTTAGTGTTATAGTATGTAGTTTTAATTTTAAATATCTTAGCGAATGTGATATGTATTTTTATAGGCTGATGAATTGATCGTGTCTAAATAAAGATTACAATACAATACAATACAATACAATACAATGGATCAGAGAAAAACGCTAACAAGAAAACACAAATGTATTTCTTGTTTTCTTATCTATGTTGGTAGACCTAACAAGACTTTTTTCAAGAAGGGAAGAGAACTGAATAATATTGAATGGGAAAATATTTCCTTAGAGGCTAAGAGCAATGCTGGCAAATCATGCTTAAAATTAGGGACTTTTCCCTTTTAGTTGAGAGCGAGGGGTGTTGCTTATGTTCAGTCATAAAATCATAGATAACGCCATACTTTTACTTCAAAACTTTCTTTACAAAACCATGGAAGAGCATTTCAGATTTGTCATACTCTGATATCAAGTTAGGCGCGATGTTTGTAGAAGCGATTGATACTTATTGTACCTTTTACATGGACGCATCGTTTCGTTCTGAATGGACTGATCTTGCTCATTTCTCATTTGCCTCGTCAACCAAAATCTTTACTAAATAAACAGAAACCAGAAACTTTAGTTGAAGAATCCCCCTACAGCACGGTGTGAATATAGCGTTTAGAGCGAATAATTACATCTTATTAGAGGCTTTGTTGCGTAGTATTTTTTTAGTATTTCGCTGAGTATTTTTACAAGTCGTGCCGTATTTTAAATAACGAGTAAAAATACTCAGCGATACTACACAACAAAACCTCTGATAAGTTATTTATCATCCGACACGCCAAATTGTTATTTCGGTGCGAGCGAACTTTTCGCGGATAATTATTAACGGGGAGTGCGTGACAGACGTATGCGAAGCGGAACGGAATTGGTGCGATGTCGTGTTGCCTATTTTCTTCAATAAATGAAGAAATTGCCTGGTCGTCTAGTCGTTTTTCTGCGTTCGATTTATCTAATTAACTTGTATCTATATTTGCCAGCCATTCCGACTCTTCGTTGTCAGAAATATGATTCAAATTGTCCGCCACTTTTTTTTCGTAACCAAAATCCAATTTTACGCTTGCGCGATGCGAAAAAACCTGTCTAACCGTTTCTCTGGAGTACAAATACCGCGTGATACTTGTACTCGTCTATGGCGTTATTTGTACACTACGGAGTGTAGTTGGATAATAAATCTACGGAGTGTAATTGGATAATAAAAGACGATAATCAATGCATTCTCCTTAACACTCTGACATCAATTTAAAAAGGAAAAAAGTTTCTACTTTGCAGTGCCTACGCTCATACACCTGTCTTAACAGAATAAATGGTATGTATGACATAAATCTACCTTACCTAAAACATAAGTAGATGTTTCTCCCCTTAATATCACAACTGCGACAGGAGTCTGGCGTTTCTACCAAGTAAGATCCTATAATGTTCACGTGATCTCCACATGGGTTTTCCTTAAGATAGAGAATGTTGACGTGATGCATCAGCTAAAAGCACTGGTGCTTGACTTGACTGGTCAAAACATGATCATTATGATAATAAATCACGACTAGCTCAAGGAACATTGAATAGGCACGCTAACATATACCGAAAAAACCCAATTGTAACACAGTTGACGGAGAAGCTAGAAAATTAGAGGGAATGCAACAACTTTTGTGGGATCGAGTTGCTTATTTTGATATATTTGATTGTATCAGTTCAATTAAAAACAGCTCGCCTAGATACACGACAGTGTTCCGCCAAAAGGATGTTTCCGATATCCCGAAAGCCTTTGTTTGCAAATGAAGGTAAGAGCAAAGTTTTTGGTCTGGAAGATGTTTCATCAATTATGGTGCTGCAAGAAAAGAAAATATAAAACTAAGCAAGTAAATTAATACACAAAAAAGAAAGAAGAATGTCAAAAAAAAGAAAACATAAGCAATTATGTGGCGTAGGATTCGGCAAATGGTATCAGAGTTTATTTATAGTAGATTCTTAATTTGTCTGGTAACAAAAAAGTATATTACCAGTTAACCGAGCAGTGAGGGACCAGAAACCCAAAGACTACCCCAGTGTTTCTTTATCCTCCTAGTGTAAAGAAGAAGATAAGTAACAATGTATCATTTAAAAAACAAGAAATAAAACTTTGTATTAAATAAAATGTTATTTTGGCGTGATGGAAGAAAAGAAAAAAAAAGACAAAATGGAGGAGGTGGGTATTGAACCCACGACCGTCTGATTTTCAGTCAGCCGCTCTACCACTGAGCTACTCCCCCTGCGGAGGAGGCTGGCTGGCCACTGGCAGAAGTCGAATGTTACGGAATTTTGAATTATTCCAGACTTAACTGCCGAGTTCTAACTTCAGGGAGTGGTGGGAAAGGCTAGAGTTTGAATCCGGAATGTCGCCGGATTTCAAATCCATTTCCCTAACCGCTCGGCCACGCTGCCTCCTCCTTAAGAGTATAGAAGAAATATATCAATATATATTGACAAACTTGTCTAGAATTCATTAGCATACTCATTAGCATAACAAAGGTTAATCCCTTTACCAAATAAATTGTGAAAGGTCAGAAATTATGTAAGCATACATTACATAACGCGTATATAAAAAGCGTAAAATTGGGGGCTTTCCCTTCATGGCCAACTTTGTTGGTAACTTATTTTGAATTTCAAAATACCCTCTGGAACTGGTATATTTTAATCACATTGCCGACGTTAATTGCATAACCTTAAAATATACCGGTGACTTGTTCAATAAAAACATTTCATTCTGTTTCCTTTTATAATCCCTCCTCAAAGATGACTTTATTATCTTTGAGTCACTAGAGGAGAGTACAAATATTTCACATGGGTTGTTAAGTAAAGCAAGTTAAGCAGATTAAACGTCGTCACAATTTAACTCTTACATTTTAAGTCTTCTTTGTTAACGCAGGGATCCCAATCGAAAAATAATAACAATAATATGACCACTTTCATCGGTAACATGGTCAAACACGAGCGGGAGTGCTTGATATATTAACGATTTCCCGGATCCTGTAGGCAACTTAACAAAAACATCTTCTTTCTCGACTAAAACTTTTTTAATTGCAAGCTTCTGGTGAGCTTTAAGCTCGAAAATTTTGAACTTTGACGACGCTTTGCGAAAAGCTCCTTCAAGCACCGCCATTTGTCTTGTGTTTTCCACATGAGGATCGCGATAGAAAACGATATCTGATTGGACGAGTCTCAAAAGGTGAGTCGGGCGCGAAAAGGTTCCTGAAAATGGTACCCGAGCTGTGATTGGCCAATTCGGAGAAAGGAATGTAGTTCGGTTGTCAGCAGCCGTTCTTTTGGGGGAGCGTTGCGTGACATCCAAAAAAAATGGCTGCGAGGGAGACTAGTCTTGACCGGATAGATGATTAAAGAGTTATGACGTGTTTAAAAATAGAGACATTGCCACCAAAGATGCACGCAACGGTAAACGGTTTTGAATGTAGAGAATATAAAGTAAAGTCTCTTGTTTAGAATGAAGAGAATAAAAGAAATCTTGGTAGTGAAAGGGTTTGACCGGTTATTAATATATAAGAGTATTTCAAATTCATTTTCAGCAGTATTAAGTGGTGTATGACTCTTGCTCGGTGGTCGAATATGTCTGAAGCATTAAAAGGTATAAAACTTTAAAATGAACCTCAATTGAAGTCTTGTTCTACGTTTACAGCACCACTACTGTCACAGGAGTCTGTGAACAATCACATTGTAAGAAATGAACGATTATTGCAATTAGGTTCCATTATGCCATCAGTGCTCAGGACCAAAACAAGCTTAAAAAAACAGACGTTTCGGCTGTATGTCTAATAAACTGAAAGTGCCCAAAGATCAAGAAATTTTCAAGGTGAGCAATTTTCCTTTTCTCATTAAATGTAAGAATAAATTTGGCGGTATGTTAAAATCGAAAAACGGGCGTTAATCAATTAGATCTTCCCCACCCCTTTTACGACAACTTTAGTTATGGCGTCACTCAAGGGCTGAGGACCTGCTTTGTTTTGACCAAACCTTAATATACTCAAACCTGAACTGTATAGTCTACAAAATGACTTGCAAAAGGTGAAATCAAGCGAAGCTTGAGAAAATCAGTTTCAATCATGTCGAAAATCTCCGACGAAAGAAGCAAGACAGGAATTATTCGCAAGGAGGGCTCGATGCGCGATAAACTCCGATTGAAAATACGGCAGAGAATTCATAACTTGCCGAGCGGGGAAGGAGATGAAAATGTTAACACTCTGAACCAAGCAGAGTCGGTCAGAACTCGGCGCGATCATGGTAGGAAAGCTTCGTCCCGAGATGAGGTACAGGTAAGAAAGTTTCCTTCTCTTCTGTTCACTTTCGCCTAATTTATTTGAATTTCTGCATACGAATTTTGCGCTGCAAAATAAGGAAGTGAAAGACCAAGCCTCGGCTTGATGTGGTCCAATTAATCTTAATTTTTCTTTAATGTAGTTTTCATCCTTCTTCAGACCATAGATGTACATTTTCACTGCGAGATTTGTTTTAAATAACGATATGGTGTTATTTCTGTTGCGCAAAATAAGTCAGAACTGTGAATTAAAATTGCGATCGGTCATTTTCTTCACTTAACAAGTTTTTTTTTTCTTATTTGCCACCTGTTTTGTAGTACCTGCCGTTTCAGTTACTCAGTTCACTTGCTCGCAGAACCTTTTAGATAATAGGGATAAAACTTTTCATATTTTAAACTTTGCTTCGGTGCCGCTCTTACTTTAAATTTGCGATTAAAAGCTTAGAAGCCTCGCTCAAGCTTAAAACAGACGCGTGCATTTCAGACTCGCGCGTTTTCCCGCCAAAACAACTTGTCATATTTCTGCCCTTGTTATGGCATGCTGTGCCAACTTTCACAATTTTCATTACCTATTATATTTAATGATTCTCTATCAAATGAAGGGTTAGTTGGTCGAAACAGGTACTTTTCTGAAGAGTTATGAAGTAAAGTAGGAGTAATAAAATTGCAGTTTTATGTTTAACAGACTGTAAAAGAATTACTTTCCAATGATTCGAACTCCAAACACGGTAAAAAGGAATACGACGGCCATAGAAAAACCAGAGAACATTCACAACATTTCGGAGAGACCAGAAACCGAGAGGTCCTTGGAAGGAATCGCAGAAACACGCTTACCGACCGGAGGAAAGAGACAGATGGTACAAGACCACGGGTGGAAAATCCCAACGGCAGGCCTTTGGGGGAATACCCCAGGGGTAAGCCGCATCGCAGAGATGAAGTACTCCCTAAAGATAAGTCGAGCTGTGAAGGTGAAGGGTCTTTAAGGAGATACATCAAAGATAAGCCTTACCCCAAGGATAGGTCACACCCCAGAGATAAAACAAACCGCGGGGATATGTCAAACCCCGTGGATATGTCTGTACCTCACGGCTCGGGTAACAAGGAAAACTTTGACACGAGACATAATACGCAACGAGATGAAAATCACGGCGAGAGCATCGGAGGTGGTCGGAGTAACAGTAAACTTCCCCTTTCTCCAAAGCCACATAAATTGCGACAACCGCTTCACAAGGAAGCGAAATGCTCATTGAAATCACAGGTAAGGTATTCGTACAGTTTATTGACTGAGTGGGAGTTCCGGACGGGTAAATCATATCAAACTGTTTCCCCACTGCGATGGACATTTGTTTTTGTCGGTTCCAGCCTGGCGCGGCCGCTAACCCAGATGCGCTCCTGAGCAAATTTTCAAAATGGCGGACAAGCCTAAGAGAGAGATAAGAGAACCAAAGCGATTCTGCAA